CCTAGTTTGCTCCAGGCTCTGATAGCCTCAGATTAGACACCCAGCTAGAAATCAAGCCTGAGTTTCTTCTGCCCTCCGGGTGTTGTAGAGCTCCCTTCACATCATGTAACCCCAGCCAAGAAACCAAGCTGCTCTCAGCTCCCTGCACTCAGTGCCATGCATCAGATTCCCGGTCCTCACTCTTCCCTCCCCCGCTGCTGGCATGGCTGCCAAGCCCTGTGCTTGGTCTCTTGTGCCTGGCTCAAGAACTGCACTTGGCTTACAGCTTATTTGAGCTCTCTAGGTCTTCCTCTGTACTCACCCCTTGTCTCTCCTTCCAGACAAAAGCTTCAGATTCCATTTGCATGCTCCTATGAGAGTCCTGGGCTATGAAACAATGAGACTCACACAAGAAATTTTAGGTACTTCAGGAGAGACTTGACTACCTCAGTTTCCTCAACTGACAAATGCAAAAGAGAAAGGCTACCCTTTTAGGTTGTTTTAAAATTTAAATATGAGTTTATTTGATGCAAGTATCTGGAAAAGTGCCTGTCATGGTTGAGATACTTATAACATGACATGGTAGTATTATGGCAGGGCCAGCAATGGGAGACAATGGCAGGGAGACGGAGTCCAGCAGAGGCAGTCCCTTCTGCCCTGCAGGAGAGTTCGGGTCTTATCACGGAGAGAGCAAGAATCCACGGTGGGATAAGTTTAGCAAACAAAATGCTAGATTGCAATACATAGCCTAGTCACACAAAAAAGGAGCCCGCATAGAAACATAAGAAAATGATCGCCAATACGTATAATCTAGGAAATACCATTTTCATCTATCAAGTTAGCAATGACTAAGAAAAGTAAAACTCAATAGGTGCACTCTTAACTACTGAGTGTGAGACAGAGAAAAGACACAGCTAGGAGACAGTGGCACTAAGCAAACTGGAAAGGACATTACCAATACCAGAGTAGTTAGTCGACGAGGGAATCGAGATTTGGGACGCGTTGCAAAGAAAAAAAGAAAGGTATGGCAGAGCTTGGCAAGGGATTAGGTGTGAAGAGTGAGAACCCTGGATACCTTTCCCAACTCTGACTGATGTTCATTCCCCGCCCTCCTCCTTCCTCCCTCCCCTCTGTCTCTCTTTCTTATTCTGGAAACCTTAGGGGCAGCAACAGCATTTCTAACATGGGAAACACAAAGGTATAACAACCTTTTGGAATGAAAACATGACTTTAGCACAGGGCTTGGTTGTTTGTTTTTCCTGTGAAACATTCAGGTGGAGATTTCCCACAAGCAGTTGAACAGGTCTGGGGAACAAGGCAAAGACTTTGATATGGAGATATCGGAGGCATTAGGGTCAATGGGTGGTTGAACCACCAGAAGCCTGTGATCATCTGGAAAAGATGGGTACAGAAGATTAAGGGAGGATTCTGGAGAACTACTCTCTGTAGGAACCTTCAACTCCCTACCCCCGCAACAAGCCCCTTCACTATTGCCAGTATGTCTGTATCAAGACATTGCTCTTTGCTCACACTATTACCCCAGCCTGCAGGGCCTTGGGGGACATGACTTCACCCTAGTTACCCCAGGGGCTCTGCTAATTAGCTAAGTCAGAGCCAAGAAGTGAGGGCTAGGAAACTCTGGCCATTCCCCCAGGGAGGACTGGAGTGAATTTAGCTACATTCAGGGAAGTTCAGCCTCACCTGGCCTGTTCTTACTTCTCTTGCCTGTGTAAGTTCTGGTAAGTAAGAGAGTTTGTGCTCGGCTAGGCAGGGAGCTGGGGGGAGGCTCTCATCTGAGCTACAAAAAGGTCAGAGTTTAGCCCATAAACTGAGGGCAAAAGCCATCTCAGTTATCTGATTTCTCTAACCAACCACTCTACCTTCCCCAGTCCAGAACTAAAGAAGAAACCACCCCAAGTATCTATCTTCCAGGCTCCAACCTTAGGTTTAAGGTTGTTTAAGTTGTAAATGTCTTCTGAGCCATCTTCTGAATCTAACTCAAAGTCCTATTATAGTAGACCAAGTCTCACTTTTTCCTTTTACTCGTCCATGGAGATAAACAAAATTAGTCCTCTCCTACAGGTGCCCATCAGGAGGCTCCAAAGTGCATCTCAAATTCACCTATGCCTCTCTCATCGTCACCCCCTCCCCCACAACCTTCTCCTGTGCCTTGACACAACCACATTCACCAGCACATCTGTGTGCCTGAGGACTCAGGGTTCCATCAGCACAGAGTCCCTATTATCACTGGGGCAACACTGCTAATGCCCTGAAGGACCCTGCTTTGAGTGACAGACAGATCTTAAACCTTCCCTTTTCTGGATGGTTGGAAACTGAGATTGTACAAGATCTGTGGTTACAAACTCAGGAGTAGAATGAAGGGAGAGCCCTGTGTGTGTCCCGAAGTTCACTGACCAAGACGGAAGCCTTTCCTCTGGCCTCAAATACCCTTGTCACCACCAGGGTTCAGAGTCTGCCCTGGGCCCACTTCCTCGCCCTTTCAAAAGCAGGCACATAGAGAGAAAGCCCACGTGTCAATTAGGTGCCTTGCACTGCTCATCAGCTTCACAGCTTTCCACAGTTTAGTCCTCCCTGTCAACCGGCACAGCCTATATTGTGAGTGCCATTTTACAGATGAGGACTGTATCAGTCCCTTACCCAGAGTCTCCACAAGAGAGTTTATCTTATTCCACTACCCCCCATCTCAGAGCCACCCTCATGCTTCAGTGTTGGGTCTTTGCCTTTGAAGTCTGGCCTCGCGCTGATCCGACCCTTATTTTCCTTCTCCATATCAGCCCCACCCTGTGCTATCTATCTCCTGTGAGGTGAGGAGACAAAAAACACACCCAGCACCCTGTTGTGTCAGGACCACCTTTAACCCAACCCAAACACTTGACTCCGAAATCTCCCCCCAAAGGACCTGGCTCTGTCCCTCACTAAGGTGGAGCACCCTGTGATGAGCTGAGCTGTCTCACAAGAGGATGGGCTGAAAGAAAACTTTATCCTTTCCTGCACTAAGAGAAGGAAAGCAGATGTTGGGTGTCCACTGATCAGGACACCTTGGGGACTCACACTTCTGCTGGAGGCCTGGACTCTATCCCCTAGGGGCGGCCCTGCTCTGATGCCTCAAGGTTCTTAGACTTTGTGGGTTTCGGGTGCCTGGTTCTCTGATCCTATGAGCCCAGCCGGAGAAGAACAGAAATCATCAGCTTCCCCTCTCCCTGCCCCCGAGGTTCTCTACCTCTAATAATTTGACATCTGAGCAGGTTCTACCTTCCTTATTACTCCCAAGACTCCTCAGCCCTGGACCATGGCCACGTCTCTTATATCAGTTCTAGGGTCCCCGCTTCATGCCCTCTTCTTTTCTCATACTTTGGGGTCAGTTTAGGATAGTCTTCAGTATTAGAAGTTCATATTTCTGAAGGAACAGCAGCTGAGCAGTCAGGGTTGAGAAGAATAGTTTTCAGATGCTTGTTCCCAAAAAGAAGGTGAAGTGGAGGCAAGAGGTAGGGAGAGGAAAAAAGAAAGGACTAAAGAAACAGCATTCTGTTTGACTTGGTCAGATGGTGCAGTATTAAAAGATGACAGAGAGACACTGTGTGGCTCCCATTTTTATTGTCTTTTATATTATATGAAATTCTCTGAAACTATGAAAGCAGAAGAAACCTAGTTGAGAAGGAAATTAAAACCCACAAAGGGGAAGAGATCATAAGAGAGCATCTAGCTATGCTAATAAAAGTTAAGTTTCAGGTTATTGAAAGAGCTAGCAAATGTTTTCAGGTTTCCTCCCAATATTATTTGAGAAACCATAAGGCTAGAGCACAAACTAGCAAAAATATCAATTCACCAAAATGAGAAGAAAGTGGGTAATGGCAACTCAAAGTCCATCCCTGTCAAACTCCTACAATACATCATTAAATAGTTAGTGTGCAATAACTACAATCTCTAGGCAACCATACGTAGATCCACTAAGAACAAATGATTCCATTCAACATGATGTGTAGATCATAACATATTTACGGGGATACAATTTAGATCTACTGCTCTGGCTTTTTAAAGCTCCCTCACTAGCTCAAGATGAGGAGTAATCTCCCTTTTCTTCCACATCCCACCTCCTTAGGATTTGGGAAAGGAACACGTCAGTTCTCTCCCAAGGCTTTCTCTCTCTTAGATTCTCCAGTCTCCAACCTTTATACTTTCCAGATGGACATTGGACTACGGTTGCAACAATTTTCAGCCACCTCTTCTGTAAATCACACATAGGAAGTCTGCCCCGGCACCTCAGTGTGGAATAAAGAAAGAAGTACTTGCTTTGCATTTGGTTCTTGGGCTTTGAGCACATCTCTTGGGAAACTGGAGAAGAAGGGGATCCGTTTTAACATCCTGTTCTTCACTGCATTTTAGTTCTTACTTGTCACTTCAGTCTTACTCTGTCCACGTAAGCTCATCCAAGACAGAGACAATCAGTTATTTATTGTGTACTCCTAGCCCCTAGCATAGAGCCTAGCAAAAAACAGATCTTCAATAAGAGTTTGTTAGTGAAAATACAAATGGAGGATTTTAATTTTTAAAAAAGAATAACAAGTTGGGGCTATTAAAAGTAGTTATTTCTTCAAGAATCTCATAAAAGGAGGGTGGGGCACACTTTATCAAGAAGGTTCCTGATCTTGAACCAGGCAAAGTGGGGACCAAAATCAGGCCCAGACTTTACCTTTTGTATACCTAATCTTGAATTGTACCCCACATCTTTAAAATTAAAAAAAAGAAAGTGATTGATTTAAACATGTAAAAATACATACACTACACACACACACACACACACACACACACACACACACACACCAAAAGAATCTCATTAAATGGTGAAAAATAACTTTTTATTATTTCTCTAGAAACATCAGAGGCTCATGGAAGTCAAAGCACCTGGGGCATTCTGGTGAGGCTGGGCCAGCAGGGCTGGACACTGAAACCAGACCCCTTGCCCCTCTTCTCCCTAGAGCCCTCCTGCTCCCCCACAGAAGATGTCAGGGTGGAGCAACGGAAGCTCCAACATGTCCTACACCAACTTCCTCCTGCTGGGTTTCCCAGGGCTGCGGGAGTCCCGCGCCCTCCTGCTGCTGCCCTTCCTCAGCCTGTACCTGCTCATTGTCTCTGCCAATGCCCTGGTCATCCACACGGTGGTGGCCCAGCGGAGCCTGCACCAGCCCATGTACCTGCTCATCGCCCTGCTCCTGGCTATCAACATCTGTGCCACCTCCACCGTGGTGCCCGCCATGCTCTTTGGCTTCTCCACACACTTCCGTCGCATCTCCTTGACACGCTGCCTGGTCCAGATGTTCTGCATCTATTTCTTCATTGTCTTGGACTGCAACATCCTCTTGGTCATGGCCCTGGACCGCTATGTCGCCATCTGTTACCCTCTTCGCTACCCAGAGATAGTGACCGGCCAGTTGCTGGCTGACCTGGTGGGAGCGGCAGTTGTCAGGAGCACTTGCATTGTTGCTCCAGTGGTGTTTCTAGCCTCCCGGGTCCACTTCTGCCGTTCAGACGTGATCCACCCCTTTGCCTGTGAGCACATGGCCCTGATGAAGCTCTCCTGTGGGGACATCACCCTGAACAAGACCGTGGGGCTCACCGTCCGCATCTTCAACAGAGTCCTGGACATGCTCCTGCTGGGAGCCTCCTACTTCCGCATTATCCATGCTGCCTTCAGGATTTCATCAGGTGGAGCACGTTCCAAGGCCCTAAACACCTGTGGCTCCCACCTGTTGGTCATCTTCACTGTCTACTCATCCACCATGTCCTCATCCATCGTCTACCGAGTAGCTCGCACCGCCTCCCAGGATGTGCACAACCTGCTCAGCGCTTTCTACCTGCTGCTCCCGTGTCTAGTCAACCCCATCATCTATGGGGCCAGAACCAAGGAAATTAGGCAGCACCTGGCAACTGTCTTTCAAAGAACACACTACAGGTCCCCCACTAAGAAACCTCAGTTTCTGCCCTCACATAGAGAGTTTCCTGGCTGATTCTCTAGGACTGGTAGGTCCTAAAGTCATTTTCGCTGCAAGTGAGGGGAGGATAATTATATTGAGTGAGTCATCCTTACTGTATTTTAGCCTGACTTACTGCATTTATCTTTGAAAGTCTTATATCCATTCTCTTAAAAAAAAATTAACAACTCCTTGAGAGTTACACAGTAATCAGCTGCAAAGCAAGCTTCTGTCTCCAGCTTCTAAATTTTCTCCCCTCCCTTTTGCATATGAGTTTCATTTCTTCATTATTTATTCATCAAACTTTTTAACACATACATCATGTTAACCCTATGATCACAAAGAAAGGAAAAAAATCTCAGTCTCTTCCCTAAAGGAGGTCCCAATCTAGCAAGCTGTAAAGAAATATAATGTTCAAGGATAGCTTTTATGTACAAAATTCTGTGGAAACATGGAGGAAAGGACAATCACTGAAACTAGGAGCACCTCACAGAGAAGGTGAATTTGAGTTGGATTTGAGGGATAATAAGGTGTTCTCTGTAGAGGAATGAGATGGAGAAAAGAAAACCCATTCTAGGCAAAAGGAACAGCATGGACAAAGACATAGAGCCATGGATAAACACAGCAGACGTGGAAGCTCAAAGGAAGCTCCATGTTTCCCCACCACAGAAAGAGTAGGGGGTACAGACAGAAATGAGACTGGATGGGTAAGCAGAAGTCAGATGAGGAAAGGCCCTATATGTCATGAAAAGGAATTTGAGTTTTTAATTCAGGCAATATGTAATCATTTAAGAGTCCAAAGCAGGGAAGTGGCAAGATCATATTTGCGTTTTGGAACCATCACTGTAGTCATACTAGAGTGTAAGTTAAAGGGAGACAAGCCTAGAGACTAAGAAACCCACCTGGAGGCTGTAACACTAGTCCAGATGACAGACTACTGTGGAGTGAACCTGATTAGTGACAGCAGGGATAAAAATAGATGAACCTACATAAGAGAAATAAGAAGGCTGAATTTGTCTGTAGGGATCAGAGAGGCAGAAAGAAAGCAGGGAAAGAGTGACTTCACCAAGGACAGGGAAGAGGACCGTAAGAAGATTTGAGTGGTCAGCAATGCTGAGGGGTCAAAAGAAAATTCTAGACACAGCAAGCCCTCTCTGAGCCCTGCATTATTGCTGTAAAGGATAGGAGAATGTTTCACAAAGCCAGAAGCGTGAAATAAAAAGATCACCTGGGATCTTATCTGATTCTTTCTGTTTCACCTTTACAGTATGAGTTAAATTTCCATAACATCGTCTTAAAAAGAAAACATCTGAACCAGGCATGGTGGCTCATGCCTATGATCCCAGCACTTTGGGAGGCTAAAGCAAGAGGATTGCCTGAGCCCATGAGTGCGAGACCAGCCTGACGACATGGCAAGACCTTGTCTCTACAATAAATTAAAAAAAAAAAAAAGTAGTTGGGTGTTGTGGTGCACGTCTGTGGTTCCAGCTACTTGGAAGACTGATGTGAAAGGATTGCCTGAACCCAGCAGGTGGAGGCTGTGGTGACCGTGAATGTGCCACTGCATTCTAGCCTAGGTGACAGAGTGAGACTCCAACTCAAAAAGAAAAAAGAAAAGAAAACATTTGAGGGTATAAATAGTCTTCAAACGATGTGTACTAGTCAGGGACCAGTCAAGGAAACAGAAACTACACTAAGTGGGTTTTTTGTGGTTGTTTTTACAGAGACAGGGTCTCTCTCTACTGCCCAGATGAGAGTGCAGTGGTGTGATCATAGCTCACTGTAGCCTCTAACTCCTGGGCACAAGGGTCCTCCTGCCTCAGCCTCTAAAGTAGCTGGAACTACAAGCTAGCTCTCATTCCACTATTGGGGAAACGGGGGGTCTCACTATGTTGCCTAGGCTGGTCTTGAACTCCTGACCTCAAGTGATCCTCTCACCTTGATTTTCCAAAGTACTGGGATTACAAGCATGATCCACAGCACCTGGTCTAAACTGAGTGTTTTAACAGAGAATTTAATGTAGGGAATTAGTTACATAAGAGGTGGAGACTTGAAAAAGCAAAAAAGGAAAGCTTGAGGTAACACAGAGATAGCAAGCAGCAGCTACCACTCCAAGAGATCAGGAATAAAGGAAAGAAGTCAAGAGTATCAGAACCTAGGAGCTTGGAGCAGAGACCCTGAAAAGTCCTTCAGAAACCCAAACTTCTGAACAGAATGTGATGCTAGTATGCTGCTGGTTCCTCGGAAGCAGTGTAGAGCTAGGATGTAGATCTCTGAGTACTAATTGGCTAAGGGAGTTTGACTTGGCTACTGTTGTATCTTAATAGCTTAAATCAATGGCTCCAAGAAATTAGTATGCAAACCTTGCATCGAGGTGGAGGCTGCCCAGAAGGTGTTCATACCTCCTACCTCCAACGGGATACAACAAGTTGGTTCTATGAGAGTCCAGAGAAGTTATTAACTGGAACCAATTACTGTTGCCAGGGTGAAGGTCTGTTGAGATAATACTGACAAGAACAATAAGCAAACAGAAAGGAGAAAGTCCCTTCTGCTTTCCTCCTACTTTTCGATAACTTTTTAGGATTCATTATTGGGATAACCACCTAGCTGACTATCCCAAAAGTGTGAACAAAAAAATGCTTAAAGTATGCCATCGAGTTTCTGTGACTGTTTTCTATGCAGCAATTTTGTGAAAAGAGATAATTAACAAAATGACTAAATAATGCTTTACACACAGTATGTTTACAATAGATGTTAGTCTTCTTCTCTCATTATGCTGAATTAATATATGGTAAGTAAATGTCTTTTTAATTCTCAACTATGCATTCTGTAAGAGTAGAAACTGTATTTTAAAGACATCAGAAAAAGATGATAGAATAAGAAGTCCCAGTCCATGCTCCCCTATAGAAAAAGATTTAACAATGGTGTACGTAACAAAATACCCTTAGGAGAAGTCCTGGATCCCGTTAAGAAGTTGCAGTGCAAAACAACACAAGAAGAGCATAAAACTGAGATCAGTCACACTGAAACAGGTAAGAAGAATGGTTTCAATTCACCTGCATCAGCCCTTCCTCTGAGCTGGCACAACTAACTCTGCACCAAGAAAAATTACTACTCTTGCCTGGGCTCGGTGGCTCAGCCTGTAATCCCAGCACTTTGGGAGGCTGAGGCAAGGGGATTGCCTGAGCCCACGGGTTCGAAAAATTACCACTCCTCCTGGGAAGAGTTGAGGAGGGGAGTAAACTCCAATGACCCTGGCATTTCAGAGTGCTCTCCAAGGAGCCAGCCTCTGCCTTGTCTCACACAGAACAATGAAAGAACTGGCATAGCCCAGATGCCTGAGGTAGATATGAATATAGACAACTTCCAGGAGCCAGCAAGGATGTGCAAGGGCTTGGAGTGTGATCAAACGCAAGTCCAACCACTTGTCACTCAATGCCAAACATGAAAGAGAAGAGGGTTGTTAGAAGAAAAGTGACTTTCATTTCCAAAAGTTAGCAGATATGGAAATGGCCAGGCTCATGCCTCAAAGAAACCATTTCAAATTATTGGGCTGAGGGTAGGAGGTTTTATGGGTAAAAGAAAGAATGAAGGGCATTTGGGAGTGGTACAAGATACAGGGCTACGTGTCATGCTTTGGTGGTTATCCTGAATTGCTGTCCACTGGAGAGCTTCCTCACACCATCTTAACTGTTGTCAGGTTGTAGATTAACCTTGGGGATTGGTTTCTGAATCTTGCTGTGGGATCTCCAGGCATCAATGATATCTGAACAATGAGGCTCCAAGCACAGTTTGTTCCAAGATTAGCCTCTGGAATTTCTCAAGCTAGTACACAATTAGAGTAATGGGCACGTGCTTAATTATAATCATTGGATCACTGTGTAAGGGAACCCAGAGAAGAAAATAAAAAAAGGAAACTTAGTGTTCCTACAAGTTGCATTGCGAAGTTAACCACAACAACAAACATTTTTTTTCGAAAACTGGGATTCCCAGTTACAGGAGAAGGCACAGAACTGAGGCCTCTCCTCAAGGAGAGTGGTGGAAAGTAGCGCCAATATCCCTGACTTTTCATTTTTCTCCCTGAAGGGCTTGTTTCTAGCCTGCCTCACACAGAACACTGAAGAAACTAGCATGGTCTGGATGTCTGGGGCAGCTGTGTTCAACATGGCTCTGCAAGGTTAAGAGAAGACATAAAATTGAGGCTGCTCCTCTGGGAGGGAGGAAGGAATGCAGCGTGGCCCCAACATTCCCAGCCTTACAATGCACAGCTCATTTCTATCTTACCTCACACAGAATGCTTACAGAACTGACTTAGTCAGATACCAGAAAGAGCAAGAGATTACAGGCCCCTTCAAGGAAAAAAAAAAGACTGAACACCTGGAACAGCTGGGAACAAAGGTCCAGAATCTCTAGCTGAGCTAACTGGTGAAGGTCTTTCCCGATAAAAGCTAGTTTGTAAAGACTGGGAATGAAGGCTGCTTCTTCAAATACTCAGACAACAATGTGAAGTTACAAGGAACTTGATGAATCAGGAAAACATGACACAATCTACAGAACAGAACAACTTATATATGTTTTTAAATGATTTATACTTATTAACTCAATTAATACAACTCTATAAGGCAGGTAATGTCTCCATTTTATAGATAAGAACACCTAGAGATAGGAAAATTGAATTTGTCAGCTTTAATTTTCTGTGTGTGTGTGTGTGTGTGTGTGTGTGTGTGTGTGTGTGTGTGTGTGTGTGTCAGGGTCTCACTCTGTTGCCCAGGCTGGAGTGTAGTGACACAATCATAGCTCACAGCAGCCTCCACTGCCTGGGCTCAAGCAACCCTCCTACCTCAGTCTCCTGAGTAGCTGGGACCACAGGCACATGCCACCACATTTGACTAATTTTTTAAAAAATTTTTTTGTAGAGGCAGGGTCTCATTGTGTTGCCCAGGCTGGTCTCAGACTCCTGGCTTCAATGGATCCTCCTGGCTCAGCCTCTCAGAGTGTTGGAATTACAGGTATGAGCCACAGCACCCAACCTACAA